GTTATTAACAAGATGTCCTTCACAGCTGACCGAAGGATGAAATAAAATTTGCATGAACTTTTAATAGAAGAAACTTTATTTTGAAGGGCTGTGTATGTTGGATGATTCTCTCAGCCATTTTTATCTCAATATTTGTCAAATTTGCTGAGTTTGAGTCMTTTTTGTGTTTGATTTGATCAGTTGTCTGTGGTGTTTTTGTTTATCTAGTCATTACTTTCTAGTTTTATTCAAATCCAGCCCATGTCTCATTAGATTTATTTTCTTAAATATAAAACAGACTTGGCTCCAAAAGATAATGGCAAGGATATACTGTTCATTAAAATCAAGTAAACATGCTGTACATCCTGTACAAAAGTAACTTCCTGACCTGAGACTGGTTCTGTAGATTTGAGGCTTATGACTAAGCAGTTCTGGACTCTGAGCTGAGTCCTGGATGCTGTGGGAGTCTGGGATGAAGGATATCCTGTACAACCTGAATCAGGAGCGGAGGTTGGAAGGATGGGAAAGCTCGCGCAGCACAGAGCTGCATTGTTTTCTTCTTTGTACTAGTTGTGTTGTTTGCATAATGCTCTTGTTGTTTAAAGTACAGACCCATATTCTGATCCTCTTAAAATTAAGCAGAATGCTGCATCATGAGACCAGTTTTTCCATGGAACCTGCTGATGCCAGAAGGGCACTTTACAAAAACCTCAGGATCCTGCACGCAAAATACACAACATGCAGGCAGGAAGGATGTTTATTATAGTCCCACTTTAACCTTTCATATTTTTCTGTTTGTGTGTGTGTGTGGGGTGTGGGGGTTGTTTCTGGTGACATTTGGGGGAAATTTTAAGACAAATGCCTACCTTCAGGGACAACTGGTGCATTTGGGGACAAAAGTCGAGTCCCCTTTTGGTTTAAATGCCATTGGTGGGTTGGGGGTTTGGTTTAGGACCAATGTGTGAATTGAGTTTAGGTTGGTTTTAGGGTCAGGTGCAAACTAGTGTGTGTGTGTGTGTGTGTGTGTGTGTGTGTGTGTGTGTGTGTGTGTGTGTGT